AAGCCAACCGTTTTATCATTCATCCTTCATCGCTACCTAAATCATCCAGCTTTTATCACTTGTTTTAAGTTACACTGCTCTTTTGGTAGTTTTACGTTCCAGGTGTTCAGTGGAAATCCAGACAGAACAATGTTCCATAAAACCGGAAGCTTTGCCAAGTCCAGACGCTGAACTTAATAAGTAAGGCACATATTTGGCTTCTTCTAGTTCTTTTGATTTAATTCACAAAACCGACCTTGTGTTAACCTCGATACTGACTAGTGATTCGCTGTTTTCTTGGTGAGCACACAAGCGGTTGTTATTGGACTATTTGTTAATAGTAGCTGACGTTTCAGCGTCTGAAAAAGTCCAGTTGACTGCAATCTAGTCAGGCAAATACCTTCATGGCTTCAAAGCCGTGAAATCTTGATTTGAATCGCATTGGAAACAAAACTACCTCTTAACGCACTCATCGTTTTTATGAATCTTCCACTGAGTCTTCCACGTGGAGACCAATCGCACAGAGTGCACATGCATGGAGATGTGCTTTCAAATTTACATATCAATCTGAGATATTGTGTGGAATGAGACGGAATGGAATGAAAAGACGTGTTAGCGAGCCATTCCTCCTTGCAGTTAATTCTTTGATTCTTGGAATGTGTGCAAACTATCTCGAGGATTTTACGTACTGAATTTTCAGAATCCTTTGCGGAGATGGTGACTTCTATTTTAAAATCTTCCTCATTATTTGTGTGCGCCCTTTGCTCTCCTAACGGAATATCTAGTTTGGCCTTGAATTTACGACTAGATCTTCTGTTATACGGGCCTAGAGTGTTCCATCCGTCTCGCCAATGTATTAACCCTCTTACGCTTTACAATAGATCAGGAGTACCGTATCCGAACTCATGAGTCCATCGTTTGTGCTGTCAAGGTATATTATGCAAATCTGCATTGTACACAGACGGTCATGCAAACAGTTCTAAATTAGCTATTGTCTTAGAGTGTCTGGTAGCATTTCAGTAACTGCTATCGATTCCTCTAGACTGACCGTTTTTAAGCAACGTTTTATAGGTGTGCATTTTGTTGGAAACGAAGGGCGAAATAAACGGGACCTTATTGTCCTAGCATTTCCATTTCGAGGAGTTGTTCTCCCTCTATAGCTATCCCTTTGAGCTACCGTTTGGCAGCCATTGGAAATGGCTATTTACCTCATCACTTTCAGGGATTCTTCTTTCTGCTGTCTTCCTGTGCACACTAATGCCTGTTCAAAAACGTGTTTATTACAAGCACCCTTTTTTGTAAAGGTAGTGAACCAGTACGTTTTTACCACTTGGCTTTCGGTACCACTTTGTTATGTAGTCGTTTCCGGATAGGTTAAATTGAATGTTCAAGAATGAAATAATAAAATACTACCGTCTTAAATTGGTTTTTCTAATTCCATAGAAGTGAAAGAAAAGTTCCCTTTATCGCCCATCATCTGAGAAAGAATCGAAATTCAGTGAACGAAAATTGAACGGTGAATGGGTGAAAGAGGCAAAAGCAGCTATTTTATAACTATCAGTTATTTCTAAACTCAAAGTTGAATTATCAGCATGCTCAGTCTTGTACTTACTTTTTAAAGCAAATAAGTTAGTACCTCACTGATGATTTGCCTCCATCGATCCATCGTTATTCAAGGTCAGACCCATCATCAGCTGTGTAGACAGAGCAACGGATAGAATTGTACGGTTTTTACTCTAATTTTTACGCAGTTGTTGAAACACATTCCAACCAATCTTACGAATACCCAATTGTTTTGGACAATTTACACAACACGCGTCTCGCCAGTGCACACGTTATTTCTTCCTTCGACGTTGCCACGCTTTGTACTAACGCGTCGAATGGCCCTGCTATACAAGCCATCCTCGAATTCCTTATCCAACACGAACGAGCAATAAACATGTACGACTGTTCGATTCAGCAGCTCATGGTCCTCTTAAAAAGACCGTCTAGCCTGCTCACTCCTTAAATTGTCCGAGAAGTATTTCGCACACCTCCCAACGGTTTACCGCCTCATCGTGGCTAGGAGGTGTTCCTGGGTGTCGGACTGCGATGTACAACGGGGGGATTCGTTTTCCCGGCAGGCTCTCCCAAGCTGAGAAGGAGTCAGGTGTTTCCATCAGGAAGCCTAGCTAAAAGTAAACCAATACCATGATCCACCACCGTCTTGGTATCAAAGTCGCATGGTGGTAAATCTCCCTCTGCTCTACAGGGGCTGCGACTGCCTGTCGTGGTGAAGACCTGGGGCAGACTTTGGCCAGGCTGTCCTCGGAATTCCAGAGAACCATAATGGCTTAACCAGCAAATCTCCGAAAAGTGATTATGTTGGCGCCCGCACAGCCAGTGAGAGCGGGCCTTCAAGTACCAAGTAGGTAAGTAAGTATTTCGCACAAATCGCAATGAGGAAGTTACATGTACCAAATCTTACCATTGCCTTTATCTCTAAAGTGGAAGCTCCAGTGATCAATCTCCGTCAGGTAACGTAGATGCTTATATGGTTTATTGTTATTTGATCCACAAGAAAAGGTGTCGAAAAATACTTTCAGTTGTTTGTTGAATGAAGCGTGTACATATAATTCACCCGAGAGACATCGAAAGAAAACTGGCATTTATTTTTGAACGGTTAAACTGCCCTATCCAAAAATGGTCACATTGTAAAATGGTACCGAAAATCAATTAGCGAAAACATACTGCTTCATTATCTTTTCCCTCACCACTCACACGCAAAAAGAGCGCTTATGGGAAACACGTTTCGGACAACCACCAGCCATCAATGTGATCACAAGAAGAGGGCAGAAGGAAGAATCGCTAAACTTAGTGCGTGAATTAACGTTCTCTAATTGTTATGGAACATTTGCTGCTAGGAACAGGTTTAGAGGAACAACCACACTCCCAGACGATAAATCTATCGAAAATGAGGTCCCATTTATTCCGCCCATTTCCCAACGGAATTTGTACAGCTATAAAAAGTTGCTTAAAAAGGACCTTTTTATAGAAGCCGACAGCAGTGACTAAAATACCACCCAACATTCTTAGATGCTAACTAGTTCGTAAGCGAATATGCGACCGTACATGCACAACATAAATTTGCCTGATACACCATAAAGATGGAGACGGTGATTGGATGGTGGTGTATCCGATCTCTTATAAAGCGTACGGGAGTGAATACTTTGGCGAAACAGATGGACCATTCTATGTCCATCCAAAAGAAAGTAAACTTGAACTCGACATTCCATTAGGCTCGCATGAGACTTAGACACATGTTATGGAAGATTTTGAGGTAGAAGAGACCATCATCGTCTAGTTTCCTGAAACCCCAGCGCATAAAACCCTCGAAGCTCTGGATAAATTCTAATAATCTAAAAATAACCAGCAGGAAGGAATGATTTGTTATCACACGTTATCTCAGCTTGGTGTTTTAACGTGTGACAGGTGCATTACCCATCCATGTGAACTCTGCACTGTTGGTCTCCACATGGAAGCCTGAGTGAAAAAACTCATCGGAAACGGCGAATGTGTGAAGAAGCTGTTTTGTTTCCAATGCTACTGACATTTTGGTTTCGTAGTTCCCTTGTTGAAGCTATGAAAGTATTTGACTGACTGGTTTGCAGTCAAGCTGACCGTTCCAGGCTTCGAAGAAGTCTAAATCTGCTGAAGCTTCAGCTTCTGTTAATAAGTAGTATAACAGCAACCTCATGTATGCTCTTCAAGAAAGCAGGGAATTTCTGGATATAGCTGGAATTGTCCGGAAATTACTCTCCACTTTGTGGTATTAGAAAAATGATAGCGGTGATATTGAGCTGCATAAGACAGACGTTAAATATGGAAATATTGAACTGCCACATATTTCATTCAATGTTTGAAAAAAACCTATTTATTTTTTAAAGAGCTGCTGAGACGTTACTGGCTATGCATCGACAAGTATGCAGCCGAGTGGATCCGCCGAGTGTGTCAGGATATTCTCGCACAGACGGTCAGTTGAATTTAATGGACAATGCTTCGTCGATTTGATTCAATTTCAAACCCGAACCAAGTGTTTTCAATCGCTCTGATGAAGTTCTGGTCAAAGAAGAAAAAACCTTACGAATTATGGAGATAATTTTTGTGATGAAAACTGCAGTTTAACTAAGTAACCTCTTTAGAATTCGCTAATATCAATGTTTAGGCTTGTCGTCGGCTAGCGTCTCGTTTATTAACGCCTTTTATAATCCGAATATGATTTCGCTCAGAACACCGGTATGTTATTGATTAGTTGTTTGCATTCGGTTAAGTAGATTAGTAACACGGATGAACTTCCCACTACAGTACCCGGTTACATGTAATGCAATTTTAAACGCATTTTTTTCGGCATCAATTGTTCTTTAAACGCTTGAAAATCAGTGGTTAGAGGTGCTCAGCAAATCCTAGTGTCGTTGGTTAGACCACACGCCTTGAACCTAAGCAGCCACTTATTACTCCAAGGTCGACAAATTGGCACCAAAGTTGTATGGAAAAGTGAAAAATACTGATTTGACATGTCGTTTCATCCCCATGTAGACCAAACATGCATTGAATCATCTCAATGCTGCTTAGTGAAGTCGAATATATGGTGCATCCCTTAAGGCTTGATCAAAGCGGAACTCTTTATCCTTTATCACTTATCATTTAACCTTTATCTTTTATCTTTATCCTTTATCTTTTATCCTTTACCATTTATCCTTCATCATTCATCCTTTCTCCCTTATTCTTTATTCTTTTTTTTTCTCATTATAGGTTTCCTGAACTCAGCAATGTTTGTTGAAAGCTGACACTATTCGTTTCCAGTTGGATACAGAACGAAGAAACCTCCTTCGTTTCAGCTGAAATACAAAATTTTATCAGTTGTTTAGAAATGCACGAAATTACCGCTGTTGAAAAAAAGAGAAATTGACAAAGTCTGCTGTTTGGAAAGAACAGAATACGAAATACAGTGTCATATTGTGAGAATCGCCAGTAATTCTACTATGGAGCTTTTCTCCGTCGATACTTGTCTGTTGTGATGTTACGTAGATGTTTCCAAACATTTATCGGCTAAACATAAATTGTGTTGTTCCCACTTTAACCATTTGGCTTGAACAGTACTGCACACATTTGAAAACTTCCGAGTTTCGTTATGATGTTATAGCCTTATTTCGCACCACCTTTCTTTGAACACTTTTCGAACGGTTCTAGCATTCGGTACGTTTCTTCACATCCATCATCGACAGAAATCTTTGGATTTCTCATTTTCGTTCGGTTGCTGCTTGAAGGTTTTGTACTTCATTGAACTTTTTGAACGTTGAACGTTCACTGCAACGAAGGTCTTTGGATACTGGTCAAGTAGATTCTTCTGGGAGTCCTGTGATTGTTATGCTGGTTCTCTCCGATTTTTAACTGCTGGTAGTTTCAGCTTTTGTGGATCGGACTAATCCTCTCGTTAACCTGTTTGGTGCCAATTTCTCGACCCTGGAGGAATGGCAAGGGTGGCTGGCCTGATGCGTGTTCAAAGCAGGGCATTGCTAGTGTTGAATAACATCTCTACCACTGCGCTACCTCCACTCTTATCACTGATTTACTTATTAAGAGCAGTTTAATTTATCGTGCAAAAATGTGTGGCGATAGTTGCCACAGTGCCATATGCCACATATAGTGATGAAAGACAAAACAGTACGTTTGCTCATATTTATTCATTTCGTTTGTTTTCAGCTTGTAATTACTGCTGAACGTGTAGCAACGATGAAGGACGTAATGCAGGATTGGCGAAGACACTTTGTTTTATTTGCCGATTGGTTACATGCTTTACCAGAGTTCGCATCACTTAGTGTAGACGATCAGGTATGTGTTCTTCCATGAAAGTTTACGATTTTTTGCGACTGGTCTCATATCAAAAACTGCCCGTTGGGGTTTAAATGGTCCCGAGCCGTGAAAGGTAATTTTAGGTTTTACCAACGTTAAGGAAGTTAGGTCTGCGTTAGAGCGATGATACCAGATATTTTGGTTTTATTCTAGAATGTGTCTAATCCATCTTATCAGGAATTCCGGAGTATATTTGGCGGCCTATAACTGTTAGGTGTTATGCGTTTTTAGTGTTAACACATAAAACTCGATATGGGTTGATTTCAGATCACATATGGGTGGGTGAAGTCCTGTTAACGGTTTACCGCCTCATGGCTGGTAGGTGCTCCCTAGTGTCGCACTGCGACGTACAGGGATAGGGAGGTATTTTTTCCTCTTGCAGGGCCTTCCAAGCTGAGAAGAAGTCCGGCGTTTCCATCCCCAGCTAAGAGTAAACCAATGCCGGGATCCATCACCGTCCTGGTATCAAACTAGTCGCATGGTGGCAAATCTCCTGATCTACAAAGGCGAAGATTGCCTGTGAGGGGTGACGATCTAAAGCAGATTTTCGCTAGGGTGACTTTGGAACTCCAGGGACCGTAATGGCTTAACCAGCAAAACTCCAAAGGAAAATGGAAATTTTTCTGGAGCCCGCACAACCAGTGAAGACGGGCCATCCAAGTAACCAAGCAGGTGTATGGGTGGCTTTAAGTAACGTATTCTAGTTTGTTGTAAGCCTTATTGGTTGGAGTGAAATCAATAGAATCTACGGGTTTGTTCAACAAGTTGCAAGTTTCTGTTTTAGAATTATGACATTCTAGCTTTTCGAGCTTACGAAGTGTTTTTTTCGTGGAAGCTCGTATTCCGAACAGCAACACGGTTAAAGAAACTGGGTTTCATTGAAGAGGACACGGTTGTGTCTTTGAATAAGCTTTCAATAAGTGCGGTTGCCGCTCTTTAGTAGGAAGTTTTGAAAATTTTGTTCCCGTTTATCATTTTCTTCCTGAAAATCCGGATTTAAAATGGACTTGAAGCTGAGATAACATGCCAGAAAAATTGCTTGTACTGGTTGAGCGATAAAGCGAAGTCCGCTCTATATACCAGTCAGTTATAAACTTCTCAATTCTTTAAGCGTCGAGCCACAAGTATTAAGAACCTGCTGCAGTTTCCCTACTGTTTTTATTGGTAACAATAGGAAATCAGAGTAGTTAGACAGGATACCACATATAGAGCCAGTTTTCCACCATTATCATAGGATGTATTATGAAGTTCATGTGGTTCGTTTTGCAGATTTTGATAGCAAAGAGTAGATTTGGTTCATTCTACTGGTGGTTATGCGCTAATTGGACAAATGAAGCGTGTTGTGATGGAGTATGTTATTCTAATGGTACATATTTTCCACGTTCAGAAGCTCTTCAGTGTTTTCCAGACGTCAGGTGAGATTTCGAAGTTGGTGTTTTGGAAATATTGGTATTCATGATTGTTAATAGGTTAATACCGCATGTGGCGCAGTAGTTGGAAGCGCCACTGCGACACACACGTGGAATCGATCCTCGCGCCCATGGGCCACTAAGCGTTCCATCCCTCCGGGGTCGGCAAATTGGTACCAGACTTGTCTGGGAGGATAGCAGCACTGGCTCGATACATCGGTAGGCCACCGCGACTCATTGTAAAGTCCAGATTTGCATTCGGTCACCTCCAACGATACTTAATGAAGTCGAATGCATTGCGCATTTCTCAGGGATTGATCAACGCTGAAAGCTTTGTCCTTATTTTGTTATTTATGATCGTTAATCATCAGACTCTGTTTTTGTTTTAATTTGCGGTTTTTTTTAAGAGGATGCAGTGAGCGAATGGTAGTGACATTATCGGAACCGCTTCGTGAATTGCAACTTGATGAAACCGAGAAATGCCTTATGCTGGCTGTTATCGTCTTCAGTGATGGTGTGTGCTTTTTCAAATGATTTTATGTTCCACTATTGAGGCAGCTAGTAACAACTGGTTGACATATTAACCCATTCATGCTCGTACGAGTCATACTGATTCATCTGTGCCTGGGTATTGTGGAGAGATTGTGTCCTATATTTTTTCTTCTTCGAACTCTTTACTTTGCCGTACAAAGTGTTTTTTGCCACACTTTTTATATTTAATAAATAGCCTCTCAAGTGCAAATGTTATACGAGATCTCTTGTACAGGTTTTATTTCCAAACAGTTGCTTTCCATGCGCGTTTACTCGACTCACAGTCAAGACTTTTGTTGATAAAGAGAGTACTAACATATCTGCCCTCACAAATACTGTTGCTCTTGGTAACGCAGCCACACAAAGGGCGGTGATATGAGTTACATATCACTCATGCGGGAGAAAACTTGGGCGTTGTTCGCGCCTATTCGATATTATCGGGAGCTCACGAGCCCTTCACAATGCTAACAGAAGCACTGGCTTTTCCAGTCTCTGAGTCATGTTTCCTAGTCATGTGGTTGATTGCTAGTAGCACGGATAGAGTAGAAACACAACTGAGAGAAATGCAAAGGATGCGCCTCGGTTGTTGCGCTGGATAGCACGTGAGCACCCGGAAAGCATAGTCGCGGCTTCGAAGCCTACCCGAGGTTCCGAGTTTTGCTCATGTCTCAGAATATTTTAGCACATAGTTAGCTATCAGGCGGAATAACGGCACAACCTTGTCTTTTTGATGTGAAATGAAAAGTTTTGAAGGCTTACCTAAACAAACTCAACCGTACTACGATTTTATCGGTCCTGATAGTTTAGAACCCTTGGAGTTGTCGATATCTGGCAAGGAACATGTGCGCACAATGGGGTATCGTTTCGTTCGAATGCTCCACCATCATATTCGGAATCGCGAGCCGACCTTGTCAAATTCGGCAATAGGACTTCGTATTGCAAAAATAATGATTCTCCTGACGGCAACAACAGTAAGTTTTGCTGGAGGTGATATTCTCATTGTGATAACCATCGAAATAAAAGTCACTTTTTATTTATGTGATCTTATAAACTGATCTTCTTAAGCTGACGCGAGGTTGATACAGATCTTCGTTGTCGTTGTTTTTGATGTTATTGAACGATGGCTGACGTTTCGGCGACTTCGCCTTCCTCAGAGCCTGGACGTACTTTATGTTAGAATACTTTTTATTATTCGGTGGAAAAGAAGGTTAAAGTATTAATGAAGATCAAACTTTCAAGTAGACGCCATATTGAACAGAAAGGTCACTCACCGTGATGTTATATGCGGGACTGGCCGACACGTAGTTTACGCGAGCAAGACACGCCCCGGGGTCAAAATATCATTTTGAAATAGGGCGCCAGGTCACGCGTGATAGTGAGGCATTCGTTTTTCC